AAAATTAAGCCGGGCTCAGTGGCTCAGCCTGTAATCTCGCGCATTGGGAGGCTGAGGTGAGTGGATTGCCTGAGCCCATGGGTTCGACACCCGCCTGGGCAACTTGGTGAGACCTCATCTCTACAATTGAAAAAAAAAAATTATCGGGCATGGTAGCGTGCGCCTGTAGTTCCAGCTGTTTGGAAGGCTGAGGCAGAAGGACCGCCGGAGCCCAGCAGGTCAAAGCTGCGGTGGCTGGGAGCGTGCCACTGAACTCCAGTCTGGGCGACAGAGTGAGACTCCAACTCAAAAAATTAAAAAATAAAATTAAAAATTAAAATTAATAAAAATTAAAATTATTTTAAAAAATTCTTAAAGAACTTATTAGGTTATCGATAGTATATTATCTATGGGAAACTGATGTGGGTGTTTTTTTTGCTGCTATTGACATAAATTTTCAATCATTCTGGATATTTGCATGCCTTGTTTCATTTTTAAAATAAATGTTTAGAAATGAAGTTATAATGTCAAGAAACATTATTTGTGCTTTTTACACTTACTATGTAGAAATGGGGGAAGATCTTCCAGAATAGGAGTAAGAAAATGAGAAATATACTGTGTATACTGATCTGTTTATTTACTTATTTATTTATTTTTGTTATACAGATGTGGCGTGCAAGCGAGAATTAACTACATAAGTAGGCTGAATGCAGGCGAAGGATGCTTCTAGATTGCCCTCACTCCCCCAGTAGTGGACTAGGTACCCTTTGTGTTGTCATGTGTCCCCCACATTCCTCCCTCTCCCTTTCTCTCCAAGGTGTGACTGCTGATTCCACCCTTGCACTAATGTGACTGACTGTTCAGGGCCCATTTATGAGTGAGAACACGTGGTATTCAGCTCTTTGTTGCTGTGATAATTCACTTAGTATTAGTATTTTCGACTCCATCCAATTTCCTGCAAAGTCTATAATTTTGTTCTTCTTTATGGTTGCCTAATACTCCAATCATGTCTATGTACCACATTTTCTTTTTCTGGTACACTTTTGAAGATCAGTAGGGTTGATTTCGTGTTTTTACTATTGTGAATAGTGCAGCAGTAGACATGCATATACAGATGTCTTTTTTGTAGAATGATTTATTTTCCTCCAGGTATATTCCCAGGAAAGCGATGGCTGGGTCATATGGAAGGTCAATTTTTAGTTCTTTTGGGAATTCTCACATTGCTTTTCAAAGAGGTTAAACTAGCTTGCGTTCCCACCAGCAGCACAGATGCATTCCCTTTAGGCTGAACCTGCAACAGCATCTGTCATTTTTTTACTTACTAATGATAGATAGCCATCCTTACCAGAGTTAGGTGGTATCTCATTGTAGTTTTGATTTCCTTTTTTCTGATGATTAATGAGGCTGGGCAATTCTTCATGAGTCTGTTGGCTGCTTGTATGTCATCTTTGAAGAAGTGTCTGTTCATTTCCTTGCCCGTTTTTTAATGTTTTTTTTCTTTCACTTTATTTGAGTTCCTCATAGATCCTGGATGTTAGGCTATGGTCAGATATAATTTGCAAATATTTTTCCCCATTCTGTGGGTTGTTCCCTTACTCTCTTGATGATTCCTTTTGCTGTGCAAAAACTTTTCAGTTTGATGAGACCCACTTGTCTATCTTAGCCTTTATGGAACTCACTTTTGGGGACTTGGTCAATAATTCACTGCCTACTCCAATGTGAACAAGGGTGTTTCCTACATTTTCTTCTAGGATTCTTATAGTTTGAGGTTTTACATTGAAGTCTTTGATACATTTAGAGTTGATTTTTGTATATGGTAATAGGTAGGGGTCCAGTCTCAATCTTATGCATATTGTCAGCTAGTTTCCCCAGTACCATTTGCAAAATATGGTCTTCTTTCCCCTAGTGATTTTTTATGAGTGACTTTGTTGAAGTTGAGTTGGTTGAAAGTCCATGCTTTTGAGTCTGTGTTTTTGCTTCCAGAATCTCTGTCCTGTTTCGTTAGTCTATGTGTTTATTCTTGTACCAATACCAGGCTGTTTTGGCTACTATAACCTTGTAATAAATTTAAAGTCTGGAATGTGATACCTTCCACTTTGTTCCTTTTGTTGAGAATTGTTTTGGCTGTTCGTGCTCTTTTTTGTTTCCATATGAATTTCTGTATTGTCGTTGCCAGGTCAGAGAAAAATGAAGTTGATCACTGCATCTAAGATAGTCTTGGGTAGAATGAACATCTTGACAATATTGATTATTCTGCTCCATCAACATGGAATATTTTTCCATTTGTTTGTGTCGTCCTTGATTTCTTCGTGTAACATTTTGTAGTTCTCATTACAAGGTCTTTCACTTCTCAGGTTAGGTGGATACCAAGGTATTTCATTTTATTTGGTGGTTATTGTGAATAAGATTGTGCTATTTATTTGGTTTTCCACCTGCTTGTTGCTAGTATATAGAAATGCAACTGTCTTTTGCACGTTGATTCCGTAATCCGAGACTTTACCAAAGTGATGTATCAGGAGACTTTTGACATACTCCCTAGGGTTTTCAAGGCATGGAATCATATCATCCACAAAGAGGTATAGCTAAACTTCCTATTTTCCTGTTTGGATACCCCTGATTTCCTTCTCTTGACTAATTGCTCTGGCTAGGACTTCCAGCACTATTTTGAAAAGGAGGGGTGAGAGTAGGCATCTTTGTCTTCTTCCCATCCTTAGGACGGACGCTTCCAGCTTTTGCCCACTGAACAAAATGTTGTGGGTTTATCATAGATGGCTCACAATTTTGAGAAATGTTCCTTTTATACCTAGGTACTCAAGGATTTTTTTTTTTTTAATCAAAAACTGAGACTGGATTTTGTTGAATGCTTTTTTAGGCATCTAATGATATAATCATGTGGTTCTTGGTTTTACATCTGTTAATATGTTGAAATACATTTTTGAACTTGCAAATGTTGAACCAGCCCAGCATCCTAGGAATGAAACCCACCTGGTTACTGTGGATGATTCTTGATATGTGTGTGAACTTATTTTTTTAATTATATATTGTATAACTATTCCATGTGCTTCATTTTTAAATGTTTTCTGATATCATTTTAACTGAACTGTACAGTAGTCCATTATGTTGAATGTGCCATAGTTTATTGAACTAATTATTTTAAGCAGATTGGTTGTTTCTAGTCTTTGCTGCTATACATATAAAAAAATGCAATCCATAAAAATTATTGCAGATCTCTGGCTACTTTCTTAGAATATAATTTTAGAAATAGAATAGCAAAGCAAAAAATATCAGGTTTTCATACAGATAATCTGGGAAATGATTTTTTATACTTAATTTATATTTTAAGACTAATTTATTTTTAACTGGTTTAGGCTTCTTATGGTGAATATGATCTTTCAACTGCCTGATCTAGGATTCACTAGGCTCTGCTTGATTCCATCTAGTTATGGAGATGTCACACTCTTGGGGAAGTTCCTTTCATCACTGGAAAACTCTAACTTTTGAAAGTTTCCCAGGTTGAGCAGATTCATTTTTCTTGTAATTCTACTTTTGGATCCTAGCTCATGATGTTGTGTTTGTCACTTCCCAGGGGTGGAGGGACCTGCCTCTCACCTCAATTCAAGTTCAGCTGTTTATATTATCAACACACACACACACACACACACACACACACACACACACACACACACACAAACACTAATCGGAGATGGAAGTTTTATTACTCCCTGTCAGTTTCAGTGAAGAGCAGAGTAGCTCCCTACCAAGTCCCAAAATGGTGTAAGAAAGCAAAGGAAAGATATTGATCTGAGGTTTTTATGGCGGGTATGAGGTGGGGCTGGAATGAGGATTCTCATGTGCAAGCAAAGGCCTATGTGGCTTAGATTTTCTCCTTGTGCCAATGGAGAGAGCACTTGGGCTTCTTGATCAACTTGTGCAGATGTGGGTAGAAAAAGAGTTGGGGGTGAGGCTTCAAAACTTTCAGAGATCAAACATCAAAAAATGGAATCATATTCTTTATTACATATAGGAAGACTTTTTCCAAAACTATAGCATATTTTTACAAATATCTGAATATAATAATTCTCATTTCTCTCAGTACTCTTTTCTTCTTTAAGAGAGCACAATTTTTTCAACTGTTTTATGAAACACAATGTCAAATTTCTTTAATTCTTTGCTTATCATATTAGACTTCTCAGTTTTCTGTGGGTATCATGAGAAAGCATCCACACTGAGAGCTAAACTCCATATACATATATGAACATATGTATATATGTAGATATGCTCATATATGTATATTAGAGATGGAATCTTGCTATTTTGCTGTGGCTGGACCTGAACTCCTGGACTCATGTGATACCCCCACCTCAGCTTCCTGAGTAGCTGGGACTACAAGCATGCACCATTTTGTCTGGCTTTTAAGATGTTTTAAAATTACATTTTTAGGCTGAGCTCGGTGGCTCAGCCTGTAATCCCAGCACTTTGGGAGGCCAAGGCGAGTGGATTGCCTGAGCCTGCGGATTCGAGACCCGCCTGGGCAAATTGGCGAGACCTCATCTCTACAATAAATCAAAAATTAGCCTGGTGTGGTAGCACACGCTTGTAGTTCCAGCTACTTGGAAGGCTGAGGCGGAAGGATCACCAGAGACCAGCAGGTCGAGGCTGCAGCGGCCACAACAGGTCCACTGCACTCCAGCCTGGGCAACAGAGTGAGAAGCCAACTGAAAATAAATAAATAAATAAAATTACATTTTTATTTTTAATTCTCTTTGTAAATTAAAAGGATGCAAATAGTCTTCTTGGAGAAAAATTAGCAAGTAAACTGGACTAGATTAGATAGTTTTGTTTGGGATACACAATACATTTTATTTTAGGCTAGTGAAGTTTATAGAAATGGTGGTAAACTCAGGTAATTACTACTATTAAAATATATTAAAAGTTAACCCTTTCTTAGTATTTTAAACAATCAGCTTAAGATTTACATATGTGACAGTTGTGTGCTAACTTCTCACTTCTATTGATTTTAGCATCTCCTTGTGACCCTGCTTTCCTCCTGACCTGTGTTCCCTGCAATGTGATCAGCTCTGTCATTTTCCAGGATCGTTTTGACTATGGTGATCAGAAATTTCAAAACTTGATTAAGTATTTTCATGAAAACTTTAAAATTTTAAGCACCCCCTGGATTCAGGTAAGGTCAAGGTTCTTTTTGAATGGGTAGCAATGTTCTAGTTTATCTATTGCTCATGCTTACTTCATTTCTCTGTCCTGTTTTAAAATTTCCTAAAAATGCATATCAAACTATTATTTTTATCTATTAGTAAGTTATTTAGCAATAATGTGCTGAAATAAAATTTAAAACATGAAGTAAATTAGAATAGACAGAAAAAATATAATCTGAGTGTTTCATTGATAGTAAACTATTTTTTTGATAAACCTGTTTTTCTGATGTTTTATATCTGTAAGCATAGAGGTAGTGATTTGATTTTTGTTTGTTTGTTTGTTTGTTTTTGAGTTGGAGTCTCACTCTGTCACCCAGACTGGAGTGCAGTGGCCGCTCCCGGCCACCGCGGCCTCGACCTGCTGGGCTCCAGCGATCCTTCTGCCTCAGCCTTCCAAGTAGCCAGAACTACAGGTGCACGCTACCGTGCCTGGTTAATTTTTTGATTTATTGTAGAGATGAGGTCTCGCCAAGTTGTCCAGGTTGTTCTCGAACCAGTGGGCTCAGGCAAACCCCTCACCTCAGTCTCCCAAAGTGCTGGGATTACAGGCTTAGCCACCGAGCCCAGCCAGGGGGTAGTGATTTGAAATGCATTTCTGGCCGGGTGCAATGGCTCAAGCCTGTAATCCCAACGCTTTTGGAGGCCAAAGTGAGGGGATTGCCTGAGCCCATGAATTCAAGAACAGCCTGGGCAACTTGGCAAGACCTCGTCTCTACAATAAATCAAAAAATTAGTTGGGCGTGGTAGCACACACCTGTAGCTCTGGCTACTTGGAAGGCTGAAGCAGAAGTCTTGCCTGAACCCAGCAGGTCATTGCTGGAGTGGCTGTGAGGGTGACATTACATTGCAGCCTGGGCAACAGAGTGAGACTCCAATTCAAAAAAAGAAAAAAGAAAAAAAAAAGAAATGCGTTTCTTACTATGGTACACTGTCAGACAGTGTTCACAGCCTACACTGTACAATCATTAACAACTAAAATCCTATGTAAATTATAAGGTCACCTGTAGATATCTCGAGAGAATAGTCTACTCTCTCGTTTTTTTGGAGCAGAAAAGTGTAAACCAGAGCAATGAAGCATAATTTCCAAAGCAGCCTAGCAAGACAATGAATGAGCTAGATATAAAATTAAGCTTTCTTGATTCTGTGTCAAGCTACCTGCCTGAATAAATTGCTTTGGTGTATGCCAAAGGTATTACATTAAAGTATTGTTTAAAGCTGAGTAGTTAAGCTCTAGGACCAAATGACTCAGAAAAAATTGCATATTCCTGAGGCTAGAAGAGACTTAAATAATTTTTTTTAACTAAGTGATTTGAGCACTTCTTTAATATTTTGGATGGAGTGTTTCTTTATTGCAACAAAAGACTATGAAACTTCACAAATTTTTTAGAGGCATCCCCAGAAAAATATGTGTAGGGTAACTTGACATGAACAGTGGATTCTACCTTTGATATGTCACTAGTTTGATATCTTAGATTGTAGAGAGTTACAGTTAGAAAGTGAATATGAGTGGCTTTGAAGTTACTTTGTGACCTGTGCATACTGTAACTCCAGCTACTTTTATCAGTGGTCTCTCCTTCTAATACAAATGTGTTTCGGTGCAGGAAGCATGCCTTATTTGTCTGTATCAACTCAGCATATAACAAAGTATCTGACATGTATTGGCCTGTAAATGCATGCTGACGAAATTAATGAAGGATTCTTTCTTTTTTCAGCTCTGCAATACTTTCCCCTTTTTACAGTATTTCCCAGGAATTCACAATAAGTTACTTAAAAATATTAATGCCCAAAGGCAGTTCATTTTGGAGAAAATAAAAGAACATCAAGAAACTCTGGACATCAACAACCCTCGGGATTTTATTGACTACTTCCTGATTAGAATGGAAAAGGTAAAATGAGACCCTGATTTTATGACTCATAGATTTGATTTTCCTGGAAAAACTGGGATATTAAAACAAATGCTCCTTCTTAAAAATGTATTTATTGCTTATGCAAGCTATTGCTTGAGCAAACTGTGATATTTTTTAATTGTCACTGAAAAAAGGCATAGAAGGTTTTATATTTACTATGTTTTATAAAGCTGATTCTCTATTTGGGGTCAGATCACAACACACACACAAAGAACATATCACGGTAAATAAAATAAGTTCTATGAATGGATGATTAACAAACGAAGGAACAAAGAACAGATAGGAACTAAGAAAGGCTTATCTTTGGAAAAATTCTAGCAAATCTTCATGAGGTAGGTTTTAAGGAAACTCTGACTGAGATTAGCAGGGAGGGTCAAATACGTCCTAAGAATAAAAAGTGTAGTGATCAAGTATGTGGAATTTTCAAAAAGGTTATCCTGATTGTAATTGAGAAACAGTGGTGGAATAATGACTGGTGGGGTTTCAAATAGCAATGTGGTTTGGGGTGGGTAGGTCTGGAGGCTTAAATGAAAAACTTAGACATAATAAAATAAATAGTAGATGGTGAAATTGGCAGTGATTAGCAGACATGATTTAATAAATATTACGTTTGAAAGATTACACATGGAGTGACTGGCTCTAGTGAGTGAGAAAGTGAGACATCAGAAAGGCCTGCCAGTGTGTAGCTCTGATTATAATTTAGCAATTTGAAGGATTTCTAACAATTCATGTAACTTTTTCTTCAGCTATAGGATTCTTTATTATCTGGCTTAATTTTCTAGGTACCAATTAAACACTTTTCTGTGATCTAAACAGATTTTTATTTTTCAAATAATTTAACATATCATTTCTAGGAAAAACACAATCAACAATCAGAATTTACCATGGACAACTTGGTCATTACCACATGGGATATCTTTAGTGCAGGAACAGAGACAACAAGCACCACCCTGAGATATGGACTCTTGCTCCTGCTGAAGCAACCTGAGGTCTCAGGTGTGATCATAGATGATGGGCAGGTAAAATTCCAGATAGAAATTGGAAGGCACTGAAGCCACCCCACCTTTCACCTGCCTAGATAATGTACATGAATATTTATCATCATTAGTACATCTACTTATCATTGAATGGACTCAATTCAAATTAGATCATAGTATAAAAAGAATAACAAGCCAGGCTCGGTGGCTCAGCCTATAATCCCGCGCCTTAGGAAGCTGAGGTGAGTGGGTTGCCTGAGCCTGCGGGTTCGAGACCCGCCTGGGCA